AAAAAAAAAAAAAAAAAAAAAAAAAAAGCCTGACACCAGCACAGCCAGGTCAGATATGAGGGAACTGCACAGTGCTGTTTTTCTGTTCAAAGACAGATAAGTCCAAACCAAGCTAGGATGTTATAAAAAGAGGTTTTCAATGTGAGTTTTGGGTTGTACCTAAAAAAATACACCCATCTTTTATATCAGAAAGAACTTTGATACTCTGTATTCCCCAGTGATTTCAGCAGTTCAATGACACCTGCTGTTCTGAGCTTCGTAGGAAGGTCTTTGAAGGCACAGTCCTTCAACTAAGCACAAGCCTTGCTCTTCCAGTCCTCCTCCAAAGACGTCCTTCTTAATAGAGGAAAGGTATCACAAGTCTATCCATATACTCCCCTGAAGCTTATATACTCCCACATGAATCATGTCCCAGAATAAAACTCCAACATGAATTGTGAATGTTTTGCCTCAGGCCCTAATTTCAGACTTCTGGGTGTTTGTGTAATCACATGAGCTATCGTCCTAGGCCCCTTTCTGCTACTGTGTGCTTAAGGATCTTAAGAAAAGACACATTATTTCCTGAGACAGATTCGACAAGCTCCCTGGTTCACATATGGGCAGGCAGAAGTAAGGAAGTGACGTGCTGCTTGAGTGATGGACTAGTGCAAAGAAAATCAGGATAGGATGTGCACTGATACTTAGCGTATTCCCATCTGAGGTGCTTTAATTAGAGGATGTTTTAGCAGGGATGAACCTCAGCTCTTGCATGAAAACAGATTAAAACTTGAAATACAATCATGTTTATTGAGAAAAAAAAAGAGGAAATATGTGATTGACATATTATCTAGAAAATAATGAGAGAGCATGAGGACTGTGGTAGAATGGGGATAGAACTGAAATCTCTTTGGCTTCATTTTGTGCCTCCCCCTATTTTCTGCGTTGGATATTTATTTCTTTTACATGTAATAGTGTTTGGAATAAGATTGTGCACATGTGGCAAGGTAATGAAGGACAAGCCTAGACTGCTGAAACAAGACCCGTGGAGAGGGGGATTAGCACTGGTCTGTCTTAGCTAGTTGCTCGTGCTGCCCGAAACCTCCCTGCTAATGCGCTTGCTGGCGTGGTGCGGACAAGCTCCGGGATGGCCATTTGTTTCAGCTGAATGTGTTATTGCAGTCCCCTCCCTGCATTGTTTTGCCTCTGAGCTTTTGCATTAGTTAGTTATTCCTTTTGAGCTCCAGTTTGCCATTTTGCAGTCCTCAGTGGAAGCTCCTGATTGAAGCCAGAGACTCAGTTTGCTGCCTGCTGGTGCATGGGGCAAAGCAGAAGCATGGCCAGAGAGTCCCTGAGTCCACACTGTGCTGGGGGCCCAATACTCCTGGCTGCTTTGCCTTTATTTGGTTAATTATTTTAATTATATTTTGAGGTGGACCCTAAAAGCTAGCATTCAAATGCCATCAGACTATGGAGTTTTCAAAACTAGCATCCTCATCCAATTTGCCTCTTTCAAATGGCAAGCAGTTTTACTGAATGAATTCCTCAAGCAAACATTGTATTGACCCCACTGGGAGCTGTCGTATTTAGAAGAACAGCAAAAGCTGCCCAGTGTGTATTGTGCTGCAACATATGTAGATGTTTCCAATAAATGCCCACTTCTTATTCTCTGTGGTTTTTTTTCCTCCTATTTATATGCGATTTGTAACTATATGTAAAGTATGAAGCACATATGTGTGTTCATGCTGGCACTGAGTTATTTTGACAAACCCTCACAGTACAGGAATGAAGCCAAGCTGAATTTTTGCTGACTGAACTCAATAACTCAATAATTGAACACAGTAAACTCTATCAACTTTTTTTTTCTTTTTTTTTTCTTTTTTTTTCCTGTTTGCCAGATATTTAAAGGGGTTAAAAAAGCCCAAGCTGTATAAATACTACAGAGCACTGGAACTGGATTGGAACTATTTTTCATATGTCTGTATGTATTTCTCTAAACGTTAAGTTGCCAATTTTGGCAGAAGGCAAGTTATAATAACATTTAGAAAAACAAAATAAAACAAAAAAATCCAAAACAGTTGTTGCAGTATTAAGTGTATTAACTTCTGATACCTAATAAGCTCTGATACCCCGGATAAAGGGAGATAACTAGTTCATATTTTTCAGTTATTCTTTCTGTCACTGTCAACTCCTAGGGCTTTGGGCCTTCAAGTAACTGATATGAGAGGTATGGGGAAAGAAATCGGTGGGTTTTGCATTTGGTGGAAATAAACAGATGATTTTATGGGCAACCTGATACTGCTCAGGAGTGTAGCAGTGTAAAACTTAGTCCTCCCATTAACTGAATGCAGTGCAAAACACAGCCCTGCACTCCTTTCCAGAATTTATCCTATTGTCATCCAGCTTGTGTCTAGCTGAGATTTCCAAAAATGTCTTTTGTGCAGTGCTGCATACCCCTATGGCTCTCTATAAATAATTAGCAATATTACTAATTAGAGCAGGACTTCACAAGCAAAAGCCTTAACCTCTAGTAAAGAAAACATCTGAAGAAGCCGAGTGATGAAGGTTATTTAAAGATGTTCACAGTAAGAATATGTGACCGTGCTTGGTGCCTTTCGTGTGGATATGTTCCTTCATATCCCTCTTCTCTGCATGGTGCCCATTCATGGTCCCCATGGTCAGTGAAACTTGAGTTTGCCTAGCTGTATTTTCAAAATAAGAACGAAAATCTAAACAGTGTTGGAAGATTGTTTGCATTTTTTTTTGTTTCATTCTGAACAATTGATTTTGTTGTCTCTCTGTGTTTGTTTAGTTTTACTTTGTGTTGCCTTTCCTTCTGCAGTCAGCCCTGCCCTCATGGACTCCAACATCCTTCAAGCAAGACGTTTCAGAAGGCGGCTGCGAGAAGCCTGGATGCTCTGAGACTTCTCCTCTCCTTGCCCAGACCCTGCCAGACCTGTGTCCCATCCAGGACAGGAGCCTGGACTGTGGGAAGACGGCAGCCAACTGTTCAGAGAAGATCTGGGGATGCCCTAAGCTGGTGCAATACAAAGAATTTTTTTTTTTTAAATCGTGATTTCACTTTCTTTTAACCATGTGTATAAACCTAAGTCAAACTGGAATTGAGCTACAGCAGAAATGACTGAAAAAGAAAACAAACTGAAAAAAGAGACATAACTATTTTATTTATTTCAATATTTAAGAGAGAAAAGAAGTGCTGAAGTTGCACAGTATTTTTGTTTGAAATACATTTTACTTCAGATTTTAAATGCAGTTTTGTGAAGACATGAGATTTTAAAAAGCACATAATGTAAAATAAAGACTGAATATTTACTTTAAGGAAAAAATAATATGAAAATAAAGATCAACTCTGCTCTCTCTCTTACTTTAAAGAAGCCATTCATACATGTGCTGAGTATCTTTGTTTTTTGCAAATTGGATGTGGTAAGTGAAGATTGTTCTGGCTTACTTTCTCCCTAATAATATTTTCCCGTTAGATGCTTAAAACTTACTTTGCTGCACTGTGCTAGGCACAACTCTGAACAAAACTGTTGGAAAAGCAAAGAGCAGTGACACATTTGCTGGATTTTTTTCTTACCAGGTTTTGTGTCCCGTTGAAAGGACTGTCTTCTCCCGGTAGGACTGATGTGTCTCTTCTGCATAGTAAAACAGGTTTTCACTTCAGTGACTCTGAGAAATGCTTCTGCTGAAAGAGAGATTTGAAAAAAGAAAAACAACCCTTTTAATTTTGCTGTTATTTAGTTTTGGTAGTTCCACAGCTGATTCTGAGTTGGTTGTAAAGGAAGCGTCTCAGTGTTTGAATGCTCTGGACATGGGACGTCCTGTTGGAGTCAAGGATGATCTCATGTGTAGAAACTGTGTGTACTTAGCACCTCTTGTAAGAAGCAGTGGACCTTTGAAAAATATCTAGATGCACCTTCATGTCAGCTGTGAGCGACAGGGATAACCTGGGAGGAAAAGAGAGTGAGTTTCCATAGCTGCCATGCTAAATTGTCCTGTGGGGTGACAGAGAAGTTCCCAACCTTTATTTCCAGTTGGTAGCCATCTTCTCAGCAAAATAAAGTGTTCTGTTTCATACAAGCGTTGGAGGACTTTGTTGGCTGCCAGATCTGTTCATGGTAGATAGTGCAGGGCCTTTTGCTGTCGTGTGAAGCAGTTTGGTAAGTTGTGGGGTAGCCTTGTGTCCTAGCAGAAGGTATTGGACTTGCCTCTGAGAGGGGCCAGGTCTACCTGTCGGTGTAGGCCCACTGTATAGCTAGAAAAAGTGTCTTTGTTCACGTGGTTTATGTTGGTTTTCTGAGTGAAAGAAGCTGTGTTTAAAAAAAAAAAAAAAGAAAAATATTGTGTCCTGCATAGGGGAAACTGCCAGAGAGCCTGATCCTGCGTTATGTTTCTCGCATGCCTAAAGCTAGAGCTGTCCTCTCTGAGAGCTTTCCATATGTCAGGAGCAGAGGAGCTTGTCCTCTTCTCCCTCCCTTATCTCCTACTCCCTCCCCGAGTAGCACATACAGCCAAAAATAGCAGTGAAAAATCTCTGGTAGACCTCAGTCCTGCTCTCGCTAAATTAAATAGCAACATTTATGTCATAATCAGGCTCTTTAGCAGGATGGTTTCATTTTGTTCATTTTTGTTGTTTGCTGAACTTGCAGTTGGTGAACTGCCTCTAGTGAAAAAAAAAAAAGAATTATTTCCTCAGGCTATAACAAGACACACAACTGTAATGAAGCTTTGCAAACTGTAGGGTCTGTATTAAATATGTGTAAAATTCCTGTTAAATAAAAGTTTTGCTTCCAATGCCCCTACTGTATATTCCTCTGTAAATATTCCTTTATCAAACTTATTCTACAAGGTCTTTTTTTAGTGCAAATAATCTTCTTTTTTAAAGACATTGTTGAATAACACACATCTTGTACATAGACTTTTCTAAGCTCTCCATTGTTTATAATACTCTCTTTGAAGCTTAAAATAAAACTTCCTCCTCTATCGATTTTGTTTCCCTTCTCCATGACTTTTGTCCCTGTATTTTGTTTTGTACTTGTATTTGTTAATGAAGCTTGAAGTTAACCAAAAATTATCTTCCTTTTTCTCTTTTTCTTTCTCTTCTGCATTTGTTGGACTACAGTAAAAGGTCCTGTTATTGCTATAATGAAGGTAGGCAGGAAATTAAATACTGCTATTGTGTAGGATTCATATAAATGAGACTGATTATTTCCCATCACATAGTGCTAATAGTTGATCTTTAATGTATTTATATTATAAGAACCTTCCCTATGAGACTGCTTGAGTTGTGTTAAGGTAATTTAGACTCAAAGGCTGAGTCTAACCTACTCAAAATGGCGTTTTACACAGATGTAGTGACATTGCCTTATGGTATCCTGACCCTATCTATTACTTTTTTAATCGATGTGCCAGTCCCTGGAGCAACTGGCTTCCAGTTTCAAAACCTTCGCTTACTTTGTTGTGTTTTCATAATGTAGATGTGAAACCTGCCTTTCATTTGCACACGTTTGATTAGTAGTAGTATGGCTGTACAGGTTGGAGAGAGAAAGGGGGAAGACTGTTTCAGATCACCTGGGATCTGTGGCCTTTTCAGGAAATCCCGTGTTTCCTTTTCCCTAAAACATCTCTGTCATTGTTATGAAGCTCTGCTGAGTTTCCTCTGCCTTCCCATCACACTCCCTGGAACCAGTAGAGGCCATGGGGTAGAGTAGGGTAGGGTAGGGTAGGGTAGGGTAGGGTAGGGTAGGGTAGGGTAGGGTAGAGTAGAGGCTCTTTCTGAACTGGAATAGACTTTCCTTCTTTTGCATGTTTTGGACACTGAGGGATAGAGACAACCAAGAAGGTAGAGTAAGGTGCTGGTGTTATTTCTGAGCAAAACTGAGAAGGTAGCTAAGATGCTCTCCTTAGAGTGCTTATTTTGTGATAGGATGGATATCTTTAAGCCCTTACCTAGTAACTTCCAATTTCCTTTCTGGGATTTGCTCTCAGGTATTCTTAAAATAATCTGAGTTGCTGTCTTACAAAACTACTTTTCCAAAGGAACTTCAGGGGCCAAGTAATCTCTTCCTGCCTCAAAGCAGAGTGAGAAGGGAGGTTGTGTGATAAGCCCCTCTGGCCATTACTACTACAGCTTATCTTCACCTAGCTCTTGGGCTTTCTGCTGGACAGGGAGACAACACGGAAATTGGATGGAGGACAGAGCCAAATGCTGATAAGTCAAAGAAAGGAAAGTTGAAGAAAGGAAGGAAGGGATGTTCACAGTGTCAGTGCACTTTTCTTGTTCAGCAGGTCATTGTCTCTCCTCCCGTTCCATCTCAGTTGTCATTTTCCTTGTCCCCAGTGTGATGGATATGCAGAGCAGAGCTAGACGTTTGTACTAAGGTAACCAGGAGTGAGAGTGTGTGTTGAAATTGGCTTTTATGTATGTCTGTCAACACCTTGGTGAGATGAATGAGATCATTCTCACCACAGCGTAGCTATTGTTATAGGCTGTCAAATGCAAGGGGACAATTCCACGTCAGTCTTTGAACATTTTTGTGGAGTGTGTGGGTTTTTTTAAGCTCTGGACCTGGAAATACAAATGTTCTGCATTAATGTTTTAATTCTGCAAAAAATTATCTCAATAGAAAAAAATACCACTGTTTCCTAAGTCCCACAGCAGATTTCCTATGTCATCCTGGCTAGAAACATATCTTATTTTTGTGTTCTGGAGAAGCATTTTTGCTGGTGAGAGACAGGAGTGACAGGAGAATAATAAAAATGTTTGTCAACACTCCTGCGTCTAATTGGTGTCCCCACAGCCAATGTTCCCCTAGTGAAGATTCATTTGAAGGATAACAAAGCTGAGAGCTGTAATCTTGAGGTCTATGAAAACCAGTACAGGCTTCTTGGCCTTGGCCTGAGCTAGGATACTTCACTGAATCAAGATTTATTCCAAACCTTTGCTTGGTAATAAATGAAAAAAAAAAAAAAAAAGGAATGAAATTTGCATGGTGGTGCACTCCAGTCAGCCAATAGATTATTTAAAAAGCATAACCCTTTTCCTCTACACCCAAACTTTTAATGCTCATTAACAGTGGCGTAGCCTTCCCTCTACCTTGTTCTATCCCTGGATCAGTAGGATCTCAACTTCCTCAACATAAATAGAAGAGCATTTAAACATTGACTAGTTACCTTAGTTTGACTGGGCTTGGGACTATGGTTGTCTGAACGGTGGCTTGTTGTGTTTAAAATCTCTGTTTTCCCTTGGAAAATACTGTAAATTGTATTTTCTTTGCTTCACCAAAGCTGCACATTTCCAACAGTTTAGTCCTGTATTGGATTTTAACGACATAAACCATACCATCCACTTGTGCATGCTCTTAGCTCACCAGTGTATTTTTTATATGTTGCATTTGTTGCTGTTTCAACAAATGCCCTTGCTGTGTGTAGAAACCCATCGAAAGCGTTATTTGATGACCTTTCATCCTATAGTTCTCCATAATGGCAGAACCTCCATGGTTCTATTTACCTTTAAAAAGTGCAGATTATTCTAAAATGCGGTGTTGTGTTTGCCAATAATGTCATCCAGGTTACGATTGCAAATGTTTTCTGTTTCATGTTGTCTAAGGTAGCTAGAGCAGCTCTGAATGACCTGCAGATGATGTTGCTATGGAAAAGGCCATGTGCTTTAAATATCACAAGTTGAGTGGTGGGTTGAAGTTCCCTGACCTGCTGCTACCTGCCTGTGTGAGGTTGCTCTGCTGCAAAGCTTGAAGGATGTAATTCTGCTTTGGGCTCAGGGTTGATGGACATCCTGAGAAGGAATGGACATAGACCCCTTCAGTACCTCATGTTGAGTGGTGTTATCAATAAAGAGTTTTGTTTCTCATCTTTCTAATGACTAACTCTAACTCTGTAATTTACCTTTAGGTTCATACAGGAGTTTGTGAGTCTTTAAGAGTCACTTTTCACTTGAACTTGGACTGAAGTCCCCTCTCATTATATTTCTCTCTGGGAGTTGGTAGCAATGTGGGCTGTAGGAGGAGAAAGAATGGGATCAAATCCTTCAGATACAGACATCTCTTTTGGAACAAATTAGGAGTTTAAAATAATTCTGGAGTGTTGCTGAATACTTAGCTTGCTAATTTAGGTTTCTTTCGTCATAGCCATTAATGACTTCCTACTGTGATTTCAGTGACCAGTACTAAGGCTGCTTCCCCAAGGTGAGAGAAAAGCACTGGATGAGAACCAGCTGAAAGCTGTGCTCTCACTGTAGGGCTTCTTTTACTTTACTGTCACATAGCGAGTGACTTGTAGTCTCTGAGTTGATGGAGCACTTTTTACGGTGGTGTTTACCCAGCAAGATTTTGGGTCTAGATCTTCTCATAAATCATAGCTGCTTCCCATCAGTCCTTTCTTGGGAGTGGCTAATGCTGTCAAATAACACTCAAGGTTTTTCAGCCCTCTCCTGAGGCTCAGCAGGTCATCTTTGAGGGCAGTGGATTCTGTGAGCCACGATGCTGGGTCTCGGCTCAGCAGTTTCCTCCGTTAGCTGTTTGCATCTACAGGGGTATCTGCTCTTGGGCTTCTTAAAGAGCAGGCCCCAGCTCCTTTCAGCCTTTCCACACTGTGGAAAGTGTCCAGAGGCTTTGGACAGCTGCTAACTGTGCACGAGCTCTGTCTGGATTCAGATTGCTTTTATACTCTTCAAGTGGCTGGTCCACAGCTACGCAGTCCTTCACGTGAGGAAGCAGATGTCCTCTGGGCTAGGGAGAGGTGAGCATGGTTTCCTTTGCAAGGTCAGGTCAGCCTCTTCATTAATGAGCTCTCCAGGCCCTTTCTTGCTTCCATTAAGGATAAGATTTTAGAGGTATTTAGAGAGCTGTAAAAAAAACCCCAGAGAAGAATTTCTTAAGGCTGGGCAAACCCGTCAGGTTCCTCTCTGATTGCTTATATGAATAAGAATTAGGCCCTGCTAGGTAACTGCCATCAAAAACTGCCAAAGATCCCTTGGGGAGCAGGATGTTGCCTAATAGGGAATGCGAGTGAGGGGACTGAATCCCCTCAAAGGCCATTAAGGCTGAGAGGAGTCGGGGGTACCCGGAGCCTCATCAGCCCCGTCGGTAGGTGGGCACTTCTAAACCTCTCTGCTTTGACAGGGCAGCCCATTAACTGTCTGGTTAAGCTAGTGTTGCACTTGACTAAGAGCAGGTTCATAAGGCTCTCAGGTCCCAATAGTACCATGGAAGATCAATTTTGGCATTAAATAAAATAACATACTGCTTTCATATAGCCTGTGTTCAGTTAATTCTTCTGGCGCTGGAAAAGAACATGACTAGCAGACTGCTTAAGGAGGGATGTTTGAATCTGCTGCCATGGAACTGGCTAAATTCTTGTCTAATCTAAGATGATATTTAGCTGCTATAAGATATTGGTTGTGTAGATTAAAGGAATAGTATTCATTCGTTACAGGTTAAAAAGTCGCCTGCCTTTTGACTTTGTTAATCTGGTAGGGCTGGTCTTGTGAGCTCTGAGAAAATGAATAATGGATTTTAATATGGTGCTTTTCCACTAAGAAGCAAAAAAAAAAAAAAAAAAAAAAAAAATCCTACTGGTTTGGCATCATTTTTTTTACAGTTCTTCAAACAGAATTGTTCACAAGAAGAAAACTTATGATGGGGAAAAATAATCGTGGTTTGATTCCCAATGAAATGCATTCCGCTTTTCTTCAATGAAATGACTACTACCCTTTCTCTCCTCTTCCAAATCTGCTCTGACTTGAATGAAACATTTAATTTAGGGTTATATTTTGCTTGCTTAAAAACAACTAGA